AAACTTAGTGCAAAATGTTTTAACAAGCCTGACTTCTCGAAGTCAACTTTCGTTAAAAGAAAATAAATAAATCAGAGGTTTGTAGGCACACCGTATTTTATCAAATAAAAAAAGTCGGCACACTAAATACCCGAATATACAAAATATACTACACACGGTTACAAAACCATTAAGAATTTAAAGCGTTTATTCAAATCTATCACCCTCAATATCTCCCGCATTTTTCCGGCAAAGGAGTGAACATCACATCATAAAGATGGAGAGGGAATGTGGATTGGAAAGACACAGACACATGAAACCGTTAGTTTAGTCTATTTCCAATTGTTTAAAGTGTCGGTCGTGATGCTTTGTATACGAATGCCGAATATGTGGATATGGTGATTTTACACGGAGAGTGTGTACAGAACGCAAATGCCGCTGCAACTGAATATAGCAGGCGTTTCCCTGATCGACAGAACTTCCCAAGCCCGCGTACAATTGTACAAGTCTTCGTGATACGGGTTCATACCGTGCAGAGAACGTGCAGGAGACATCGACAAAATAACTTAAATGTGATAGAGGCTGTTTTGAATGTAGTCGAGGAGCAGCGTACTATTTCCACAAGAACAATTTCAAGACGATTGGAGATATCACAAACCAAAGTTTGGCGGATATTGCGCGAGAATTCACTCAACCCGTACCATTTTCAAAAAGTTCAAGCTTTAGAACCCCAATCGTCTTGATTTTTGCAATTGGTTCCTAAATCGAATTGCAGCAGGACCCAACTTTATTAACAGAGTGCTCTGGATGGATGAATGCTGTTTTACTCGAGCTGGCAATTTAAACAGGTAATGAACATATTACTTTCTCAAAAACAATAAGTACCTACCTAGGTTACATCAAAGTTTGCATTTACACTAAAGTTTACATTTATTATGTAAACTTTGGTTATACGCAACTGCATATTGAATAATAAATTGAAATACTAAAACTGTATTATTATAAAACGTGAAAACGTTAATAATATTAAAAATGATATATTGTATTAACCGTAAATTCGAAAACAGTCATCCCTATTCATTACATTCAATTTGATAACACGATTTTCCTTTGATAAACGACCGAAAACTTTTTGCTCTACTTTGTATGGAATACGATCCTACTACAGTTCGTATTAGTCTAGAGCCAGATTCCGTGTACTAGCTATAAAAATAAACTTTTTACAGCCATTTAAACATTTAATTTGTTGATAACAATTAAACTAACCACTTTCAGGCTTCGCCACCAAGTTTTTTTTATTCAGGAGGTCAAAATAGTTAAGAATAAGTTGTTTACAGCCGTGGCCCTCTGAACGGAACCCTATCTGGCTCCTAGACTATAGAGCACGTGCAAATTAGATGGTTAGTGACCTAGAAACAGGTTAGCCTAGGTCGGAAACACGCACCGAGTTGTTTATTTGTCTCCGTCCGATTGTTTTTTTATCTTCTATTACTTACAGTCAATATTTAAATACTACATACATTTCACCCTCTCTTTATAATTTATCTAGTGAGTGTTGGTTTTTTATGTCATTATTTCTGTAATGAAATTGAAATGGTTATGAAATGAAATTTAAATTATTTGAACTCTTGCAGTTTTGTAACTTGAATAATAAATTTTATTTAAAGTGAAACAGAGCTAATTTCTTTGCAGCCATAATAGTCACATTAGATCAGATGAAAACCCGCACACTACTCGTCGGTTTAGCTTTCAGAGGAGATTCGGTGTCAATGTATGTGCAGGAGTATATGGCGATCGTTTAATTGGCCCGCATTGCTGTCAGCCCGAAGGCTTACAGCAAATTAAAAAATTAACATTATGATGTTAATAAAAACTGATTTTTGGCAAGGCATGCTGCCACTTTCTAATGCCGTTTTCATCAACACAAAACATAGCTACATTGCTTCTAACGTAGCATCCCAATCCCTCGAGAAACAGCAGTGACATTAATTTGCACTTTTGTTCATTAAGCCTAGGTATTTATTAATAAAAAAAAACAGTTTAAGAACTGCAGCTCTGGAAATGTTTGCTTTATCTCATCAAATATAAACAGTTTCAATAAATATATCACTTTCATTTTACGACAGAATGTCGACCAGCTCAGTATTGTTCGTTGTAGTTCTATTAATTAGCAGTGCTTTGCAATCGAATGGGTCAAAGGGTCAGTGTGAAGTTGGCAGCTTAAGTGACTATATAAATGATTATCTTTCTTTACCTTACGCATGTGATGAAATATATATCAATAACAGAACGGAAGTACTAACATCGAATAAGCTAAAAAAAGCAACAACCCAGATAAACAGTATCAAGATAATAGGAGGAATATCGGGCATACAGAAAAACTGTTTCAGATACAACAGTGGCATGACTAATATTACAATAGCGGGCAACAACTTGCCAACATTTTCAAGTTCTACTTTCTCTGGTCTTTCTTTAATGCAACTAAACCTAACGAGGAACAACATTTTGGATCTTGGATTGAACCCTTTTGGCGACTCTGCTATAAAAATACTGGATTTGAGCTACAATAAAATAAGTACTTTACTGAAATCCTCTTTCTCCTCTCAGCTTCTGGACATTAGAATCTCCTGGAATAGGCTCAGTTATATCGAGTCCGAATGTTTTAACAGTGACCTGCAATTCTTAAACTTGGAATACAATTCGTTATATTATATAAATCGAAACCATTTCAGTAATTTGAGGAGCTTAAGAGAGTTATACCTTGGCAACAACCGGTTGACTGATGTTGACTTGACCGATAATAACTTAAGCAAGCTAGAAAAGCTGGATTTATCTTACAATAGAATTAAAAACCTCCATCGTCTTACTTTCAGTTCGTTGTCAAATTTGAAATACCTAAATGTTACCAGTAACCAGATCAAGTGGATATCGTCCATTACTGTACAAATTCTTACCAATCTGAAAATATTAGACATAAGCCTGAATTACTTTACCAGTTTTCCATACAGCAGTCTATCGCACTCCATCGAATCCTTTAATGCCTTTGGAAATCCATGGAATTGCATATGTTTTTTACATATGGAAAAATATCTGGTTTATAACAAGGTAATTTTTAATTGCGGGACGGTATCGAGTCATGTGCCGTTTTGTATATCGTACGGAGGAAGATGTGATAACAAGGCAAATGACACGCTAGTTGCAGCGTTCACGGAAATTATTTCTTCAAAATTAACACCGTACTGTATTGGACTGACTCCACCCAAAGGAGAAATTGGACCAATCTATCCAATGGTGAGACACAGGCCTTTTTTGGCACCTATTAGAAAACACCAGTTCAAGTAGAAATTTCTAATTTCTAATTTATATTATTGATTTCTCTGAAAATCCAGTATCTTCGCCATCTTTATTTAGTTACATCGCCAGCTCACGCTTCATTAATCTAAGTCAGATATTTTTCGAGATATTAATGTATTTGTGATGTTTTTGAAACGTTTAAAACACCTCGTAATTTGCAAATGAAGCAACTGTAGACTAATATATATTTGGCATTTTTATTATATTTTGGCCTCAAGATTATTTAATAGCATTAATATTTCGTACTCCTTCATTTAAATACACCCTGTATACAGGACTTACTAGACTAGCATTTAGAATAAAGTACATATTTTATTATAACCTGGTTATTTATTATCTCATAATAATAATAATAATAATAATAATAATCATGTCTTTATTAGCAGGATACATATTTATAACANCGTGATCGCCAGGAGAACAGGTCTTAGCCGGCGGCGACGGGTCTCAGCTGGCGGGTCTCAACCAGGACACGAGGAGGCACCGCGAAGAGAATTAATTTCAACACTGTGTTTTGCACTTAATATTTAGTTAATTGAAAACCAAGTCTGAATAAAAATGACTCAATAATAGTGAAATGTAAATCATATTAGAGAAAAAGTCAACTCTAAATTGGTTTTATATACTCAGAGTAGAGTCAAAAGTCTCTCAATTGATAGTTAATAGTAACTCGGATGTGAGTAAAACTCACTCATTTTTGATGCTTCACTCAGTTGTATAGTTGTTACGATCTCAATTGGAACCGCATAAAAACATTTAACTCATAATAATTCCATAGACGCCCAGAAAAATTTAGCCCAGTCTCGTCTAGATATACTATATTCCGAGCTATATTACCATATAATTACCATTCGATTGTCAAGTTTTTTATGTTTAAAATCGCATTGTAATAAAGCATGTCGTAAAATATCTAAAGATTTATAATTATAATCAGGATAATCGCTTAATTTATCTCGAATCATGTTTAAAGTAGGAACTTTATTTTCTTTATGCATATTATAAATTGTGCTCCGCATTACATCTGGTAAAATCGTCAATTTTATTTAATTTTGTATTTTTCCGTTTCCTCTTTGTACCGTGATCAATCCTCTTTAATTATAAATTGTTGTTTTTGATATCTTAGTTAATTCATTAATACGTTTTCTAACTTTTTTATCGCATTGTCACTATTTTCAATTTTCAAACATTCAGTTTGTTTTGATATTTTCGACCGGTTCGAAAATGTCGGAAATGACGCACCTAATTTTGACGAACGTTCTCTCAAATCACAAAAGTTGTGGCCACTATCACTGTCACTATGTCTGCACGCTCGTTTTCGTCGAATTAGTCTAAGTTTAGTATAGTTTTTAAAGTATTTCCAGCAAATTAAAAAATTAACATTATGATGTTAATAAAAACTGATTTTTGGCAAGGCATGTTCCCACTTTCTAATGCCGTTTTCGTCAACACAAAACATACCTACATTGCTTCTAACGTAGCATCCCAATCCCTCGAGAAACAGCAGTGACATTAATTTGCACTTTTGTTCATTAAGCCTACGTATTTATTAATAAAAAAAACAGTTTAAGAACTGCAGCTCTGGAAATGTTTGCTTTATCTCATCAAATACAAACAGTTTCAATAAATATATCACTTTCATTTTACGACAGAATGTCGACCAGCTCAGTACTGTTCGTTGTAATTCTATTAATTAGCAGTGCTTTGCAATCGAATGGGTCAAAGGGTCAGTGTGAAGTTGACAGCTTAAGTGATTATTTAAATGATTATCTTTCATTACCTTACGCATGTGATGAAATATATATCAATAACAGAACGGAAGTACTAACATCGAATAAGCTAAAAAAAGCAACAACCCAGATAAACAGTATCAAGATAATAGGAGGAATATCGGGCATACAGAAAAACTGTTTCAGATACAACAGTGGCATGACTAATATTACAATAGCGGGCAACAACTTGCCAACATTTTCCAGTTCTACTTTCTCGGGTCTTTCTTTAATGGAACTAAACCTAACGAGGAACAACATTTTGGATCTTGGATTGAACCCTTTTGGCGACTCTGCTATAAAAATACTGGATTTGAGCTACAATAAAATAAGTACTTTACTGAAATCCTCTTTCTCCTCTCAGCTTCTGGACATTAGAATCTCCTGGAATAGGCTCAGTTATATCGAGTCCGAATGTTTTAACAGTGACCTGCAATTTTTAAACTTGAAATACAATTCGTTATATTATATAAATCGAAACCATTTCAGTAATTTGAGGAGCTTAAGAGAGTTATACCTTGGCAACAACCGGTTGACTGATGTTGACTTGACCGATAATAACTTAAGCAAGCTAGAAAAGCTGGATTTATCTTACAATAGAATTAAAAACCTCCATCGTCTTACTTTCAGTTCGTTGTCAAATTTGAAATACCTAAATGTTACCAGTAACCAGATCAAGTGGATATCGTCCATTACTGTACAAATTCTTACCAATCTGAAAATATTAGACATAAGCCTGAATTACTTTACCAGTTTTCCATACAGCAGTCTATCGCACTCCATCGAATCCTTTAATGCCTTTGGAAATCCATGGAATTGCATATGTTTTTTACATATGGAAAAATATTTGGTTTATAACAAGGTAATTTTTAATTGCGGGACGGTATCGAGTCATGTGCCGTTTTGTATATCGTACGGAGGAAGATGTGATAACAAGGCAAATGACACGCTAGTTGCAGCGTTCACGGAAATTATTTCTTCAAAATTAACACCGTACTGTATTGGACTGACTCCACCCAGAGGAGAAATTGGACCAATCTATCCAATGGTGAGACACAGGCCTTTTTTGGCACCTATTAGAAAACACCAGTTCAAGTAGAAATTTCTAATTTCTAATTTATATTATTGATTTCTCTGAAAATCCAGTATCTTCGCCATCTTTATTTAGTTACATCGCCAGCTCACGCTTCATTAATCTAAGTCAGATATTTTTCGAGATATTAATGTATTTGTGATGTTTTTGAAACGTTTAAAACACCTCGTAATTTGCAAATGAAGCAACTGTAGACTAATATATATTTGGCATTTTTATTATATTTTGGCCTCAAGATTATTTAATAGCATTAATATTTCGTACTCCTTCATTTAAATACACCCTGTATACAGGACTTACTAGACTAGCATTTAGAATAAAGTACATATTTTATTATAACCTGGTTATTTATTATCTCATAATAATAATAATAATAATAATGAAATGTCTTTATTGGGTACTGCATAAAGAAAAAATTACAATACTTAGGCAAGGGCGAAGTTTAGCTTCTGCTACTTGCTTAACTCTTATAAACATACTATAAAACACAAATACAAAAAAAATACAAAAAACAGAAAAATAATATAGAAATAAATACAATGAACGTCAAAAGCTATAAATGAAAAAAGAGAAACATGATGTATGCGATTTATTTAGAGCGATAAAAAGTAAAAAAAAATAAATTATATTAACATCTATAATAAAGAACAAGAACATAATAAGTTAAGATGAATGATTACAAATATAAGATTTTACTTTTTTGTGATAGTCAGCAACAGAATTTTGTTTCAGTTTACTATTAATAGAGTTATAAATAGTATAGTTGTTACGATCTCAACTGGAACCGCATAAAAACATTTAACTCATAAATTCTACGAAATCCATAGACGTCCAGAAAAATTTAGCCCTGTCTCGTCTAGATATACTACCTATATTCCGAGCTATATTACCATATAATTACCATACATACGATTGCCAAGTTTTTTATGTTTAAAATCGCATTGTAATAAAGCATGTAAAATATCTAAAGATTTATAATTATAATCAGGATAATCGCTTAATTTATCTCGAATCATGTTTAAAGTAGGAACTTTATTTTCTTTATACATATTATAAATTGTGCTCCGCATTACATCTGGTAAAATCGTCAATTTTATTTAATTTTGTATTTTTCCGTTTCCTCTTTGTACCGTGATCAATCCTCTTTAATTATAAATTGTTGTTTTTGATATCTTAGTTAATTCATTAATACGTTTTCTAACTTTTTTATCGCATTGTCACTATTTTCAATTTTCAAACATTCAGTTTGTTTTGATATTTTCGACCGGTTCGAAAATGTCGGAAATGACGCACCTAATTTTGACGAACGTTCTCTCAAATCACAAAAGTTGTGGCCACTATCACTGTCACTATGTCTGCACGCTCGTTTTCGTCGAATTAGTCTAAGTTTAGTATAGTTTTTAAAGTATTTCTTAATACGATTATTAGAAATGTAAACTTAGAATGCAATACCTTTAGGAATCATATTCATATTAACTTTTCTAGATTTTATATGTACAATCACCCATTCAAATATAAAAACAGAATTCTCTAACATTATGTTGTAAATTGTGAATTACATAGTCATAGGCGTAGCAACAAAGTTATGGGACATCCATAGAAAGTAATTTCCTGTATTTTATTTCTTGGTATATTCGAGAAATTTATTACACTGAAATAAATAAATCTTCAATATTAACAAAAATAACCATAATTCTAATAAAAATGTTAAATAATGAAAAGGTATACAAGATCAAGCTATACTATCTAACTATAAAGTTGGCTACGTACTTGTGTAAAATAATGAACTTCTAATTCTTCTAGATCTCAACACTTTCCTACTCTGTATATATAAAATAATTATAAAATACTGAAATTTTTATTTATACCCACATTTTTTCCTGGTCTAGTTTAATTTATTTTAAAGAATTTTATAATTGTCCTACCCAGTTAAATAGATATTTTGGTTTGTTACTTTTTGAAATAATAATTAATTCATTGTATGTTAAATGATAAGTACATATTAATAATTGTCCGTAAGCACTATATAAACAAAGATAATGCTAAAAAACCACTGACGACACCAAAATGACTCCAGCAAAGATATGACGATCCTATGTCGGTTGTGGTAACTGTTCCTAAACAAGATAATTTAAAAACAGCGCATCTCAACAAATGTTAAAATAAAAATTAAAAAAATATAAGGATAGACACTGCAACTATAACGGAATTTTTAACTAATATAAGAAACAACTGCTCCACGGCTATAACAGGGTGTCTCATAATTAGCTGCCAACCCTGAACAGGCCGATTCTATGATCAAAACTAAGTAAAAGAGTTCATATGAACATGAGTCCGGAAATGCTTCCTAAGNACGATTATTAGAAATGTAAACTTAGAATGCAATACCTTTAGGAATCATATTCATATTAACTTTTCTAGTTTTTATATGTACAATCACCCATTCAAATATAAAAACAGAATTCTCTAACATTATGTTGTAAATTGTGAATTACATAGTCATAGGCGTAGCAACAAAGTTATGGGACATCCATAGAAAGTAATTTCCTGTATCTTATTTCTTGGTATATTCGAGAAATTTATTACACTGAAATAAATAAATCTTCAATATTAACAAAAATAACCATAATTCTAATAAAAATGTTAAATAATGAAAAGGTATACAAGATCAAGCTATACTATCTAACTATAAAGTTGGCTACGTACTTGTGTAAAATAATGAACTTCTAATTCTTCTAGATCTCAACACTTTCCTACTCTGTATATATAAAATAATTATAAAATACTGAAATTTTGATTCATACCCACATTTTTTCCTGGTCTAGTTTAATTTATTTTAAAGAATTTTATAATTGTCCTACCCAGTTAAATAGATATTTTGGTTTGTTACTTTTTGAAATAATAATTAATTCATTGTATGTTAAATGATAAGTACATATTAATAATTGTCCGTAAGCACTATATAAACAAAGATAATGCCAAAAAACCACTGACGACACCAAAATGACTCCAGCAAAGATATGACGATCCTATGTCGGTTGTGGTAACTGTTCCTAAACAAGATAATTTAAAAACAGCGCATCTCAACAAATGTTAAGATAAAAAATAAAAGGATAGATATTGCACACTGCAACTATTAGTCAGTTAAGAAGTTTAGTGCGATACTAGTTTTGCTTCTTCTTCTTTTTGTGGGTTCAAAACAATGCTTTGTGTCAGTAAACATTAAGTAGCAATGTGAAGAAAGAAAATAAACTTTGAAACTTTCTTAATTAATTAATGTTTTATTAAATAACATTTTTCGTACGTTGTATTTAATTTTTTATGTCGATGTTAAAAAGAATATAATTTAGCAATATGTGGGAACTTTTTGGTGGAAGCAATTTTAAAATAAAAATATTTAACCTTATTATCATAAGCAAAATGTTTGAAATGCTCTGGCTTATGCAGTATACTAATAATTATACTATAAAAGCAATCGCAACCAAATGCAAATTGTCAGTTTAGAAAAGTTATGTGGTGTCTTAGAAACATGTTGCGGAATATCGTATTATTACTACTGCTGTGCCTCATTTATTCTTTGGAAGCAAGTGATTCCGACAAGTGTGTTACTGTGAATGTTAATAATTTAAATGATTTGGTTTTAAAAACTTTTCGTCCAAAACCCTGCATGACCGTAAATATAAACGGATCTGGAAAAATGGAAATATTAAGTTCAGACAAGTTCAAAACACCACTTTCCAACACACCACTTGCACAAGTGAGAATAACCGGTGGAACATTTTCCATTGATCCCAATTTTTTCAAGCAATACCGTCACAGTTTGGACGTTGTAACATTAGAAAACAACAACATCCCGAAGCTTGGCTACCACGTTTTCCAGGATCTTATTCTAAGACAACTAGAACTAAGAAGCAACAACATTTTATTTTTATCGAATCCTTTTTATAACTGCTCTATATATAACTTAGACTTAAAACATAACAAAATTGATCATTTATCTGACATTACTTTTTCTTACACAAGATTATTTCATGTCAATTTAGCCAATAATAGTATTAGTATAATAGAACCCCATTCTTTTCCCGACACTGTCATAACTATTCAGTTAAGCCATAATTTGTTGTCAAGCATTGGTCAAAATATTTTTAGTAATTTGTTTAATTTAGTATTGTTGTGCCTAGCGCACAATCGTCTTGAATATATAAATTTCGAAAAGAGTGACTTAGGGAAGTTGGAGGATTTAGATCTTTCCTTTAATTCAATTAATAATCTGAATCAAGCTGGTTTTTCATCCCTCAGAAATTTAAAACGCCTAAACTTGAGAAACAATCATATAAAATCTATATCCGCGACAAATTTACAAACAAGTAAACTAAAAATACTCGATATAAGTTTTAATTTCTTTATAAATTTTCCTCACGCTAGCTTGCCTGAGTCACTCAATGTTATCTATGTTTTTGGAAACCCTTGGAACTGTAAATGCCTTTTTGACATAGAGGATTCCTTCTCTGGAAATGTAGTATCAAACACCATGGACTGTAAGCTTTCTCAAATTGTCAATGCGCCTATTTGTATATCATATGGAGGATTGTGCGTCGACGATAGAAATAATACTTTGATTAATGCATTTTCAAAGGAAGTGTCACTATACTCGAATGACTGTAGAGACCTTCTTCAAAATGTTATATTCGATTACGAACATTAATTGTATGACATTACTGAATTATACTGTATTAATTCTCAAATCGTGATACTGAATGTTTAAATAGAAGTAGTATAACAATTTAATAAAATAAAGTTGCTTCAAATTATTGTGAATATTTATATGTGTTCGCTTAGTTTTAAAATAAATTTATTTGTTTGATATATCACAGAGATAGAATATGTGTACTGTTGTATGTATGCGTGCGTCAATATTCGTTCATTGTGACTCAATAAAATTTCTCTTCTATTATTTTTAAACATTTTATTCTCCTTATCTTCTGAAATAGTCTCTGTTGCAGGATATTACGTTTATATCTACAGGATGATTCCAAAGGGATTCTTTTCGATTATTCTTTAATAAACACTGTTAAAATCTTGTTTCAGTTAAAACGGTTTTCTTGAAAACCATAAAGTTTTTTAAAATTTAACAAGAGTAAAAAAGTTTTTAAAATTAAATTCTGCAGTGAATTAATATTATTACTTTTCAACTCCGTCAACGAAAAAAAATCGGTACAACTTTAGGGGTCAGTCATCCCCAATGAACACTTTGTAGTACTTCAATTAACTTTAAATCTAACCTAACCTAAATCATGTACCAAATTTGGTTCTTCTGTGGTAAAGTGTTGCAGAGATATTAGTTTTTTTCGAAATTTAGGGTTCCACTAACTCTAATAACTAACTCAGGGGTGCATCTTTGTATATAGGTAAGTTTGGTTAATTAAATTACAATATTTTGGACTAAGGCTACAGCAATTTTTTGTGTTCAAATTTATTAAAACAAATGCAAATCTCAAGATGTGTTACAAAAACTTATAAATAAAAATAAATATAACATATGTCATATGATAAAGTTTACTTTTTGCCAAAATATCAAATTATTCCTTATTTACTGAGATTGTTTTGAAAACTAAACGTGCTAAGGTTACTCCAAACAAAATTTTGTCAGTTTTAGTTAAATTTTCAATTACAACGTCATTCATGTAGGCCAATCAATAGAGGTTTTCTTTGTGATAAAAATACTAGTAGCAAACAGTCTGTAGATATATTTCCTACTCCAGTTTTCCATAAATTAATTTTTTATAAACATTTTTATGCAATAAAACGCATTTTTTAGTTTTTTGCTTATAAAACCTAAACTAACAAAGCAGTCTGAATGATATACTGAGACAATTTGTAGAGAATCGAAATACGAATAAAACGAGAGGTCGATCGATTCAATCGGATAAATTAGAAACGAAGAAAACCCGGAAAAATCTGAAAATTTCAATTTTTTTTTAAAAATTCGATATTCCGCCATTTTTAAAGTTATAGAGCTGTCTCTGTGCACAAAAATTTGTTATATGTTGAATACTTCATTTACCTGATCCTCCGAAATAATCTCAAATGGCCATAAGTTTTATTAGAAAGTTACAGAAAACCAAGTCTTTTATTTTCTAAAATCATATAATATATTTCCAAATTGTCTAAATGGAGCAACACCGTTTAAATTTCAGAAATGTCATTTTAAAATTGAAATAGTGGCGTATCCTTTCTAGTTCAACTAAACTGCATAATATAATATTACAGAACTACTTGGTTTATTGCCTTCGAAACTATAAAACGCCGGAAAGGGAGATAATTCGATAAAGAGATGTGCTGAAATAAAATTTCGTCTATTGTGAAATGAAATCTTAGTATCTACTAATTCAGATTTAATCTAGTTTAGTTTCAGTTGAATATTTAGAATTCAAATCGCCTTTGCGTTAACTAGATGAGGTAAATTCGCTGTGTTCTTAAAAATCCCATTAGAGTATCGTACAGCGCGTATATTCAACTTTCTAGAAACCTAAAAACTATTAAGGGGTAACATTAAAGGTCTGTGCAATTAATATACAGAGTAACTGAAATATTGAAAGATGTAATAGCTCAATTTAATTGAAGAGGTCATAGGACAGGGATCATAGCTGTACTAGATACTGAGAGAGTAACTAAATGGTGGACAATACCATTAGTTAAAATTTTTACGTTTTATACCTCTGAAAACTAGTTTGTAGTTGGAAAGTTGAAAAAAGCTTGTTAATCTCTTCCTTTTTAATTTATTCCTACATCCTGTATTTCTTCTAGGCCTTGCTGAAGGATAAGAAAACAAGTGAACAAAGCGAAGTCGCTTCTCTTTTTTTTCAAAAGACCACGTTCGTAAGACGATCGCGTCCCATCAGCAAGTCCGAGTAGCCCGTGATGGAGAACTATCCATTTGACAGCCTTAGCAGGCCGGAATGATTAATGTCCGAGATGCGGGGGGATGTGGACACGTCATCAGGTTTCCGCGGGTCCGCAAATTACCCGAAACGCTTTCCAATCAGATCCCAAAATTAACGTCTAACCTTTTTGTTCCCTTGAATGATGCAGCTCTGTCCCAGTTGGAGCTTTTTTCGTTGTTAATAGTGTCAATTCTGAGGTCAATAAGGAAAAATACAAGATGTCGCAATTTTATGAGCAGAATGTAAGATTTATCGACACAAACAATGTTTTATGGCAGTAGGCATTGACAATTAAGATATGACAAACATACATCTCAAAAAATTGAGTTAGATAACGGCAAGAATACGTATTAAATGGGACGCCTCGTACAATACTATGTACCCTATGTCTGTTGGTAGTCATACTCTCTTCAACTTAGTGATGACAAAACAAAGTGCGGTTCCGTAGTACGTGCACTTCGTTCTATTATACAGAGTATTTCACCTAAGAGGGATTCTTCTGTAACTCTGTAACTGTAGAATTTATAAAAAATGGTTTTAATAAAAGTTGTGTGGAATCATGTGGGTCCGCATTACAGTAGCATTTCAAGAATTTACACCAAACATGCTGACCAATGTTGAACAATCTTTTAAAAATCGATTTCGTTTGTGTATCATTCAAAATGGAGGACACTTCGAGCAATTGATATAAATCAGCGGTCTAAGTATTCTTCTCCTTGTTGTGTTCCGAGTTTCAGTTTTTTTCGTTTTGCGTTTTGTTTTAGTTGTTAGTGGTTCACTTTTGTTTGTTAAACCACTTTTTAAACATGCCAGTGAATATTGAGACTGTCAGTCTCAGGACTGATAAAATGTGAGAGAAAAGTGGTTTTGCAAGGCTTTCTTGACGCTGTTACATAGCTACTTTTTCGGACTTTAGAAAAGAACCTGATTTTTCTGGAAAACTGTTAAAGATAAGGATGGACAATCTTATATCAGTCGAAAGGGTATTCAATTTTGCATTCACCCTTGACAATTAATATGGGTCATTCCATTTGAAAAAAAAAAGTATTTCAACTCGTAAGATTACACAGCCACACAGAAAAAAAAAATTGGGTATACTTTTTATGCGACATATATTTTTCGTAGTAATTTGGCCTCCTGAACACGAATCTGGGGTCAGAATTGGCCCATCACGTCACAATTTTTTCCTAACCTCAAAAAACTTGTGAAAAATAGTGAAAATTGATGAAAATTTACTGGGAAAATTTGGAAAAAAATTTATTTCCACATCAAATAGTACATTTTTATGTAAAAGACTCTGCTGAATTCAAATCCACTGTCAGAATTGAGCTAGAACGTGTGGTTTTTTTTCTAACCTCAAAAAACCGAGCAGGAATCGCTATTTTCAAATTCTGAGCGGATTTTGACCAGATTTTGTATAAAGGGGTTTTTTGGGTCGCTGATTACGAATATGAATTCACATTGTAAAAATTCAAGATGGCTGATCCAATATGGCGGGTGTACTTTTTTGAAATCCACCGATTTCAGTAAAATTTGGCATCATAAGGATTGCTGGTTGATCTCACCTTCATTAATCACACATCTGGAGCCAGATTTTCATAAATCAAGGTAAAATTTGTAGGCAGAGTCATAATTTTAGGCCGAGTAGGCGGCATTTTTTCGGCAAAGTCACATTTTTAGATTGAAGGCATAAGCAGATGCAGTGATGTGCTGTGTGGCAGTAATGTGTCCTTTTCCTTGAACTTTAAAATTATTAAGAAATAAAAGCATCTAAATGCCATAGGAAAACTGCATAGTAGTTAAAAAAATCTGATTGGAAAACCATAAGCCCATGCACGACTAAATAAATGAAAGAATAAAGTAGAAACTTTTTTGTCTTGTCCCATGGAAACAAGCACATCACACTACACATCATTACATGTGTAGAGTCCTTAAGTCATTTTTTTAAGCGAAGTCACATTTTTAGACGGAGTGGAATCTTTTACCTTGATTTATGAAAATCTGGCTCCAGATGTGTGATTAATGAAGGTGAGATCAACCAGCAATCCTTATGATGCCAAATTTTACTGAAATCGGTGGATTTCAAAAAAGTACACCCGCCATATTGGATCAGCCATCTTGAATTTTTACAATGTGAATTCATATTCGTAATCAGCGACCCAAAAAACCCCTTTATACAAAATCTGGTCAAAATCCGCTCAGAATTTGAAAATAGCGATTCCTGCTCGGTTTTTTGAGGTTAGAAAAAAAACCACACGTTCTAGCTCAATTCTGACAGTGGATTTGAATTCAGCAGAGTCTTTTACATAAAAATGTACTATTTGATGTGGAAATAAATTTTTTTCCAAATTTTCCCAGTAAATTTTCATCAATTTTCACTATTTTTCACAAGTTTTTTGAGGTTAGGAAAAAATTGTGACGTGATGGGCCAATTCTGACCCCAGATTCGTGTTCAGGAGGCCAAATTACTACGAAAAATATATGTCGCATAAAGAGTATACCCAACTTTTTCTTTTCTGTGTGGCTGTGTTATTAAATGTAGGTCTCAATATTTTCGAGTCTGGATAACATACACGTTTTGCTCACAGATGACAAGATAGAGTAATTTATGCCAAAACGAACTGTGAAAACTGCAGGTTTCTAACTCTTACGGTTTAGACACTATCTAGCCTCATTTAGAGAGCTGAAATCGTGATTTTTTTCAAAAACAACTGTCTCGAAAACGGTAAGTTTTAAACACCATGTACATTTAATAAACTCTACCTTATATTAACCAAGAAATTCAAAAATGCAATAATGTACAGGGTGTTCCATTTAAAATAACAAAGGTCTGTAGCGCCCACGCGAAACGGAACACCCTGTATACCTAAAAATATGATTTTGGAAATACGGAAGTATGAAAAATAATACAATATTCGAGACCAAATTGGAAATCCGAAATTAATCGATTAATAAATTCCTTATTTATGAAATACTTCTCG